CCCATTAAAACGTCCGTTTGCAGTGAACGTTCGTGTGCTTCATCCATTATGATGACGCTGTAATTATCTAGATCAGGCTCTTTAAGTGATTCACGAACAATAACACCATCTGTCATATCTATAAAATTATTATGATTAATTTAATGTTCCTATTATGGTTTGTTTTTTTTAAAAAAAAATCGAAGTTGATTTACCCACATTTAATCACGGTACTTTCAGATGTACAATCTTCAAAACGAATGACATATCCAACAATAGTTCCAAGTTTGCACTAAATAAAAAACTTATTAGATAGTTTTATATATAAGTAATAAAAAAGATCAATTTGATTGAGACTTACTTCCATTTCTTCACTAACACGCTTTGCGACGGACATAGCAGCTACACGACGAGGTTGTGTACAACCTATTATTCCATATTTGCTATATCCATCTTCATGAAGGTATTGCGTTAATTGGGTAGTCTTCCCAGAACCCGTCTCTCCGACAATCACAACAACTAGACACAGGGATTCTATTATTATATATAAAATGCAAATACAGTACACAGCAAAAATAGAGTACCTTGATTGTCTCTTACAATTCTCAGAAACTCTTCCCTAACAGCAAAAGCTGGTAAAAATTCTCGTTGTTCACGAAGGGTCTTGGACCTTGAGAATACACTTATTGCTTCAGAAGCTTTTAGATGAGATGCAAATTTAGATTCCCCCTTTGGTTCTTCACTTTCTCCATCTTCATTGGTGGCAGGTGCTGTTATAAAATAAAGGTTTAAGATAAATGTCCGTGAAATATTTTACATTGATCATAAAACGCAAAAATAAAACTCACCTGTTGTGCTGTCATCTGTAGCTTTGATGCCCATAAGGTTGCCGAGTGAGGTGCCCGCAATGTCCACCACATTCTTAGCGGCCTATTAATAACAATTCATTTTAATTTTATATCCAGCAAGATGCACCACCTCGTATTTCCGGCTACATCTGATAAATACCTTTTGACGTTCCATCTGTTCTCGCTTTTCTTTTACTAATTGACTTCCTTTTCTAGAGAACACAGCCAAATCCGACGTAGGATCTTTTACAGATTGCACGGCTTCCAATTGTTTAGTAAAAACCATGCGGCCGTCGAGAAACGGGGGCTTAATATCATGCACTAGTAAATGCACTCGTGTCTGATGATTATTAGGAAATAAGTTAACAACCATTCAAAACGAAGTAAAAGTTAAGACTTTATCTTAAATTACCTCTGAATCATCTTCAAAATCTAAATCCATTTCTCTTCTTTGAACAACACCAGAAGTAAGC